AACCACCTTTTGATGATGACCGAGCGTATTAACGATCACTATTTAAGTGGAAGAAGATAGGTCCGTATAAAAGCTACGTTTGTTTATAACTACATTTACCCATAAAAAAATTCATCAAGCTGCGTGGCCCTCGCCGGATGGAAAACCATGAAACCACATCTATCTTTTTCTTATTGACTTATTCTTATTCTTATTTTCAGGATTCTGTGTATCAAAGAACGCCCGTGAGCTAACGAGAGAAAGGTTCGTCTTCGAAAAGCTGCAATTACAACAAACAGCCAACTCAACGGTTTGTAACCTGACTTGCACACTTGCTCTCTGAGAGCGCTCATCAGCAACACAATATTAGGGAACTTGGCAAATAAGATAAATAAATTATTAAATTTTTTTTATCTATCTTATATTGGTAAGCTTTTTGCGTAGTCTTTTCCACACTCCAACTGAACTCATCAGCTTTATTTTGGTATTAAGGTCTGTACACAAGAGAAGATTCTTAAGAGTTTTTCGGTTTGATTTTAAAGAAAAAACATTAAATTTTAAAAATTGAACGATATGTTTATTTATCGGTCACATTTGAATTTGAATTTCAATTTAATTTCAATTTCAATTCATTCAGTCAGTCATTTACAAATCTTACAGACTAGACAAGACTTAAAATTGGGAATTTATGCTAAGAATGAAAAGCATAAAGGATAGAGCCAAAACGAGATCTCGGGAATGCGAAATCAAAATCAAGACTTCTAGAGATTCTATTAAATTTAGAGAGTGCTCTAACAATAGGATCGTAATTATGATAATTGGCTTTAAATACATCTAAATAGAAGGGACAATGAGGTCGGAAAGTTCTTTTAGGAACATTTAAGCTGATTTGCTGAAGCAGGTTTGGCCAGTCCACTAAGCCGAAGAGCAAGCGATTTCAGACTTAATAGTATACATCGAGAAGTTTCAAGTCTAGAGCGGAGCTGGTGAAACGATTAATATAATTTAATGTTTACGCCTTGTTTAATGTGGACGTACTATCACCAATAGGGAATAGGGTCTGGTAGCTCACAAATAAATTGGCTACGTCTTTCATATCCCGAGTATAAAGGGATTAAGTGAAATAATCTTTGCGGCCAATTTACCGGTAATTAACATTGAATAAACTGATAACTGAATTCACTTCTCAGTTGAGCCATGGTGTGGCTTGACAAATGTCAGATATCAGCGAAGTCCAGCTCTTCCAACCGAGCCAAAATAGATGTTCCCGTTTTTGTCATCTTTGAGTAAATAATGCAGCCGGCATACAATCCACACTAAACAGGCATTCTTTTTCTTGGAATGAATTAGTAATTCTTGCAGTGCTTCCGATTGATTCTCATACCAAATACAATAATAATCCTTGTTCACGAATTTTTCAACAAGATATAAGCTTTGCAGCTGATCAGAATTTATGGAACTGAAAAAGTTTAAAGCATTGGTTATTAAAGCATAAGACTTTTGTTGATATTTCATTATCATCTTTTCGCGAGAGATTATGAAGAACCTGCTTTCAAACAAATAACACAAACCTAAGTCTATTTGGAGCATACATACTTGCAACGTGCCTGAGTCCTGAAAGATTTTTTTGTTCAAAGCAGAGAAATTAAAAACAAAATTTCAATTAATAAAGAAAACTAAAGCTATGTATGTCTGAATTAGCACCCATCACATTATTTAATCAATTGGTCATTCGGTGTTAATGTCACTATTATTACACCACTATTACACTACCAGGTTATACTGGCAAGGCCGTGATCGTACCTAGAAAAGCAATATTTTTCTATGTGGAAAGTTTCGTCACTACTTTTTGATAAATTTCATAGTGGAAATATTATTCTTTCGGTTACTCGAGCTTTAAATCTGGCGCTGAATACGCTCGCAATGCTATTATTGCGTAAAAAAATCTGAATATAATTATGATAATGCTGTGAGAAAACTGATAACTCTCAGTTCACCATATAAATGCCAAACAGTTTTATTGAACGCCTATAAAAGCTCAGTTTGATGTGGTTGAAAAATTCCTGGAATTTTTGTCACAAACATACACGTATGGTGAGAAGGAAATGCAGGACGGATTTCAGCAAAAATATTGCTTTTATATTCTTATCATAAATTAATATTTACAGCATTGATATTTTAATCTTCAAGAAAGTTGGTGTAAAGGTTTTAAATTAGCTTATCTTAATTAATATAATTGGAATGCAACCTTTTGTACGTATCAGCAATACATACATTTTGATTTTAGCGGTTCATTAGCACGGAGAATGTCATGGTTCACCCAAAAACCAATATTTTAAAATTTTTTTTAATATAATTTAAATAAAATATTAAGTCAAATTTTCTAATTGCGGCCGCCCCTGGGCTGGGAATGTCAACACCTCCGAGCGTGTTTCTGACATGAAGTAAAAAACTACACATAATAATATTTGAGCCGTTCGGAGTTGGCATAGAATAAACTACATTTGGTGGTAAAACATGATGACGCTCACCACAAGGCTCCGGTTTGTTATATAAATATATATGAACACAATGGTAATATTTTTTTTTTGCAGTTTTGGCCTTGTTTCCCAAGTTTTCTTCCAGTTGGTGTAGGTATTTTATGCCAAAAAATTAGTTTCTTAATAACGTAACACTTTTTCTAAACTTGCGTTAGAGCTTAAGGTAAGTCTAATAGAAAGAAGGCTTTTTTCAATCTAGAAAATACTTTACAACCAATGCTCGACGAGCTAGATCCCTTTGGAGAGCCACTTTTTCGTAAAACAATTCAATATTTCGAATAATTCTTCTTTCAACATTTTATTAATTTATGAGAACGTTTTATTTTGGTGTTCGTTAGAGACGTATTTTAAAAATAGTAATTATGAAATTAAAAAAAAATGTATTTTTCATAAAAATTTTCTTTCTTTTCTAGGGAAATCAAATTTACTTGAACTTAGCTCAAATTTAAAAAGAGAGACACAAGCAATTTCCGAAATTTTTCGAAAATATTAATGGAATAACTTAACAATTAATGACATCTATTTATAATTCTTTTGTTTTTTCGAATAGTAAATAATTTTAATAAAAATTACATTTTCACAAGCTTATTATAAGGTATAGACACATTACTTTTCTAAAAACTGAGAGAATGTTTTGCTAGCGTTTTTTAGTTTTCTTCACAAAATGCCCACATAAGCAGTAAAATAATTTCATAAAATAACCACAAACAATGGTTAGTTAAGTTGAGTTGCTACGTTAATTTATTTTCAGACCAATCCCGCAATTAATTCTATCACACTTCGATTGCTCGTACAATTCAGCTCGTTCCGAATTTTGCACTCTTTACACTGCACATCAGAGTTTCACTGTTTTACATCTTTGAATGCACTCGTACATTAGCCCGCCAATTTGGCCGTCGTCATAAGAATGTCTGTTGCCATAGCCATCAGATGCCAGTCCATATTCATCTCTGCGTCTACTGACTTGACAAGTGGTTGGCCAGCTTATTGCAACTTCTATTCCAATTACCATCGTTTATGCCACCACCGAGTGCCTCTTGTCGTAAGACCATCACGTCAGTATTGTCTTCACATATTAGGTGCTCAGTCGACACTCGAGCATCTTGACTGATTTGCCTGCCGGAGTTGCCTAAATGAAAGCAAAGATGTGGCAACAAACTATGCAGTTGTCTGTTGTTGTTTTTTTTTGTTTTTTTTTTTTTTTGGTTTCACTTGATTTCAAATTGTTTTCACTTCTTCATTAGGTTTTGTTTTACTTCATCAAACACAACCGACTAACTTTCTCATTCAACTACTACTGAAGTGTGGAAATTTTCACTTTTGCTAATAATTAAATTTATATACAAGTTGTAAATTCTACCACTTTTCCTTTAACCAAAAACATAAATATTTACCAATACTATACATATATAGCGGAAAACGGTTTATTTGATTACATTTCTTATTTTTGTAGTTTGAGATTTCAAGTTTATATGTTATGTGTGTGCGTAAATAGTAGTCCAGAAGTTCGTCGACTCAGCGTCGGCTGGTTGGTGGATTTTAGTTTAATTTGTCTGTTCTCGATTTGTTGCTTTTCTTTGTTCTTTCACTGCAACGTCTTTCATCAGTTGTACGGATTTGCATTTTATGGCAAACCTCATCTTCGCGGTTGTTATTGTGTTACTTTTGCATTACTGTTATAATGTTTATTCTCCGCACAGACAGACCTACAATAAACTGTTGTTGGCTTGAGCTTTAATTGTTACAACTTTTAATACTTTCATTCATCCAACGAGCCTTTTCAGTGGCTTCACCAACAACTTCAATTAGTCGACACTTCACTTATACACAAACAGAGGATGCTGTACCCTAATGTGGGACAACTGAAAAAAAAAACCTTAAAAAAAAATAAAACAAACAAATTTCGTTTGCGTTTTTAAGTCTCAATACTTTCTTGGCTAGTTTAAGCTTGCAATAAATTAAATCATCAAAGTTGACGGCAGGCATGGACGCTTTCCCTGTTCCAAGAGTAATAAATATATTTATATTAAAAAATGTCAACGCATGCTTTAGTTGTATTCCAATACTCATAGAAAACCACCTTAAATTTGTTTCATCAAAAAAGCTATTTATTATGAATAAGTTTTTACATAAAATTTTGGGTCTACGTCTACGTAAATAACAGAAACGCGTTTTCTTAAGAAGCATGCACTTTTTTTCTAACGTGTAACGGGTACTTAGTAGATGTTTTACATTTTTTTTCTGTTCTGTTCTCCGCATAGCACTTCTTCGCACGATATGTAGCAACTATGATTTTAATTTTATTTTCTCTTGCGGGATCGTACTTAGCATAATTTTCTCTGGAAAAGCCATTCACATATTCTTAGTATCAGAACTAGTAATAATTGATATTTTCTTGCTTCGACGAACTTTTCAAGAATACCTTCTTTTTTTACGATCTGAATGTTGTCCAACCGCAGATTATATAGTTTTACAAAAATTTTATACAATATCATGCTGCTCATGATTGCTTAATTCTAATGTTCCAATACTACTATTGACAATAATACCTAAAACAAACAGAAACTTTCTAAAACAGATTTTATGTTTTGTAATTCAATTTTTACTAAAAAAGTTGAAGACATATAAATTTTCAATTTTTTTTCAGTTACGGTGGTTTTTCCTAGACCTTTTCTATTTTAACGACTCTTCCGAGGTGCCATTTTTTTCTGCTAAAAATGATAACATCACTAAATATGTATGAAAAAATGTCAGTATAATTCTTTCAGTAAGACTAGAGACCAGTTTTCCTTTGGTATAAATTACTGTTAAACATACCAATGAAAAATTAAACCGAAATGAGCAATTTGTAAATGAACTCATTTGATCTCCGTCTTGGCAATCATACTGATCCTGTATATTGGTCCAACACTTTCTCGACTTTTCTTCCTTTCAAAATTTTTAGGTTTCATTTTGCTACAATTTTTCGCGGAAGATTTTTATCACAATTAAAAATATGGAACATAAAGCAAAACAAAAATAAAAAATAAGTTGTATATATTGCTAATTTTCGAAAAAGAATTGACGATGTTATTTATGTTAAAAAGTGTTTTGATCTGCCTATGTTACTATTCAACTAAAGGAAAGCCCAGCAACTAACTAAAAAAGGTAAGAGAAAAATGTGGTTTTAATATAAACGAATTGAAAGTTTATCTACGCAAAGAAGATTACTCAACGATGTAATTAAAATTACTGGCGAAATTCCTTTACAAAAACCTTCTACGCTGATTTAGTATACATATGTGTATTAATAAATGCCGTTCAGAAATTTGCATATTAGTATGTAATATATGAAAAAAGGCGCTTTTCGACAGAGCTCATTATTAAAATGATATTAAAGTCTTTCTCTGATCGGGAGATGGCTTTTATGAGTAGAGTTTACTTTGTGTTAAAAATGCTTTTAGACGGCTTATCATCTACTGTTGACAGGCGATCGCAAATAGAAAAATTAATTTTCTATTATTTAGTATGTTGATCGCCACTGATAGTACAGTTGAATACTTTTAGTTTTTCGAGATTTTATTTTAAAAATTAATTAATTTAATTGCGTCAAAAATCATTATTTATTTGAATCGATTTATTGTAAAATATTTTCGGCTTCACTTCGAAGTAGAGTTTTGGATATTGAATATATATGCCAAGATTTTGTGTTAAAGTTTTAAAGCAACTGAAATTCAAAGGTTAATTTCAAGCTGATATCTACAGAAAAAAAACTTTAGTGGTAGTAGAAATATTTTAAACGTGCAAAATTTTTGTTAGCAAATATATATATTTATTTTTTGAAAGAAGAATAATCAAGTTCCGACAATTCAATATCATATTTATAGTTACGAAATTTTAAGTTGGCTTACTGAAACTTAAAATGGTATAGAGCAGATCAAGTTTGAACAGAACAGAAGAGCTGCTTAGGAAAACAACATGGCAGCTAGAAACAGTAAAAAACAGTAAAAAATGAAAATTTTTTCAGGCACTCATTTTCAAATGCGAATGTTTGATATTTCTTTTGTAAACAATAAAATTCAAAATTTTTAAATTTGCTTGTTAATGGAATGGTTAGTTTTTATTTTCATTTGTATTCAACTTGTTTGCTGTGCTTCGCGAATATTTTTTTTATCATTTTCTTTGTTTTTTAATCGCTTTAAAATATTTTGACCTATTAAAAGCAAATAAGCTCTTTGTTGAGCAATTAAACATAAGGCTTTACTCGGTAAATTTTTGTCCATTTATTTTTTACGTTTACTTTATTAGATAATTAGAAATTAACTTTTATAATTTGCAGCTTTGTAAACTATTAACAAAAACTAAAATTTTTTGTAACTAATTAGCACTGAATTATTAATTTGTATTAATTATTCATATTATTAATATGGTATTTTTTTTTGTAAAAAAACTATATATATATTTATACATATCATTAGCACTTTGCAAACGCTGAAGCCATTTTCGGCCGAGCTCTTCCTCATATTTGTGGCTTTGTGTCTTGTAGTTCTTCTACAGTTTACACTAAGCCACCTCCGAACGGCTGATGTTTTTTTTTATGAGGAGCCGTTATTTCATGTTCGAAATACACTCGGAATGGTTAACATTCCCTGCCGTGGCGCTACCGAAATTAGAAAATTTTTTATTTAAAATAATTTTTCAAAACTTTTGGATGGTCACATCACATCACAGTTACAGAATTCAATTTCCTTTGTCCTTCAGAACAAAATATAATCCAAGTATTGTTTGAATAAAAAAGCCTGATCGTTTAAAAAATTGTTGGCACCAATAAAATACTTCGATGCTTCAAATGCAAGATGTCTGTCTCTCTTTTATCCTTTCTAAATGAACTAAAATTTTCTTAACGTAAAGGCAAAGAAAATTAGCTTTTATTAAAAGATTGAAAATTGTAAGGGTTGAAACAATTTTAAATTACGTATAATTTTCTTGGCTTAGTGATTTTTTTCCAATATTGGGAACATAATGATCAGTTCTCTAATAGCTTTGAGCCACAAATACATATTTATGCGGGCGCCGAAATTTACTTGAAACTCAAATTCCTATTTCTTAACCATAAGAAATCAATTATTTATAGTTTTAACTACATCGATCCAAAATGTTATACCTTTTTTAATATTTATTTACTTATTTATTTATTGATCTTTTTAATTGATATAATTTTTTTAATCATTTTTAATTAAGTATTTAATGAAAACTTAATCAAACCTTGAATAGTTTGAATTAAGTTAAATTTATATAATTAAATAGTTATTCCGCAATTCCCTGAACTGCATGCATATGTGCAACATTCGAAGCCCGTAAATGCATTTTCACTACGAACGCACGTTTTTATTTATTATTATAATAACGCGACATAATATTTCACCAATAAAAATACGAAAAAATGTATGTGACTTGTTGCAAAAATAACTTTTCTGCCAGTAATCGTTGCTTCGATTGCATTTATCATAGCTTATCTCGAGAACGTGACATATTAATGCCATAGAACGAAATAATTTGTAAAATTTATTGCAGGAAATATAAAGTTTGCACAAGCCGCGTTGCTTCTACATACATACAAATGAGCGTATATTAATTTATGCAATAAATAAATGGCAGAGTAATGAATAACTTGATTGGCTGGCGAGAAAAAAATAAAAATAAAATAAAATTAAAAAATCGAAAAAAAAAAACAAAAATAAAACAAATCTACACAAACAAATATTCTTTCCACCCAGGCAAAACATAATTTATGTTCATTCATGCCGCAATAAAATGACAAACATATCTACATAAAGTAAAATGCATAGACAAATTTTAAATGAAGAAATTATTTATTATTAGTGTATGTAAGTATTTTCCTTCGGAGATCAGAGAATATCTGCAGCAGACTGCGTATGAAACAAATACACTTTTGGCAAACCCAAACACAAGTGGCATGGCTTAACTGTGTTTAGGATTTTTGACCGAACTGTTTGGACTACAAATAACTATAAACTCAATTCTGAGCAACCAAAAAAAAAAGCTGTGCCAAAATGGCAGCGCAGCTGCTACACTCCTTGCATAGCCACATCGTTGCCGGGAAGTTCCGCGACTGTCTGTTAACCCACAATATATTCAAAACAATATTCTTAGAATTAGAAAAGCATTTCTTTTACTTACACCACCGCTAGTGGCGCGACAGCTGCTGCCACCCTTTACCTCATTGCACCACAATATTAACCAAATTCAATTCTGCACTCACCTGGCTTGTTGCTGTTATTATTGCCGGCTGAAAATTGCTGTTGTTGGGTCTGCTGGGACTGCTGTTGTTGTTGATTTGATTGTGCTGGATGCTGTTGTTGCTGTTGTGACTGTGGATGTTGACCGTTATGTTGAAGATGAGACTGCTGCCCACCGCCACCACCACCACCACCACTACCATTTGCAGCAGCAACAGCAGCCGGATGTATGGCGAGCAATTTTGTTTCCGGTGGCTTATGTGGTCCCATAGTGATCTGCGGCGCCCCCATAGCAATGGTGGGAGCTGGCATCATCAGTGTTGACATGGCCAACATAATTTGCGAATGAATTTTGCCGGTTTGCTTTGTTTAAACTGTTACTCGAGCGAGTGAGTGCAGGGGGAGATAGAGGAGAATACTACTCCTTAACTTGGTTCGTTGGTTTGTTGGTTGGTTGACTGCTTGCTGGGCGCCTGGTGGCTGAGACACTGTTTACAAAGATATTGGACGTTGTGGTTTGCGGTGTGCAGACAAAGGCCACTGGCTGACTGGCTGACTAGATGACTGACTTGGCTTGGCGTCTGGACGTTTGTTTAAAAGCAATTCAAATGCTATGCCGGCTTTAGCACTTAAAACGCTATTATATGGGTAGGTTGAGTATTTGCATGGATATATGTGTGAGTATGTACACTAAATTTGTGTGCTTTTATGTATATATTCTACCTATGCATACATAGCCTTGTATACTTGCAACTAAGTCCGGTTGCACTTGGACTTTTCTCTTTATTGATTTATCTTTAGTGAGAGTGTCAACAAACGGCTATGGCGGCGTTGTTGGCGTACCACCAGCTTGCAAGGTGAATCTGTTGCTAAAATTTTTTAACTTCACTTCACTTCCCTACGTTCACACACACATCCCTTTCACTTATAAATGTTTTGTGGGCGTTTACGACTGCTGGCTTTCTTTGTTTTTCGGTCGTCTCTGAACTCCTGCAAAGGTCGCCGTACGTTAATTTATAGCACTTTGAGTGTAAAATCTGCTGTCGTCTGCTGATGCTGCTACTGTTGCTGATGGTGCTCCAACTGTCTCACTGCCACCTATATGTGTGCCTTTATTATACTATTTTTTTGGCTTTCTTATTTTTCTGAATACTCGTTTGCAAAGTGTCTGTGGTGTTAGATTTATAATGACAATTTCACCAATATTTTCTCTTTGTTTTTGTTATTTTTTCTCGACCCGTTTTAGATTCGCACACGATTTTCCTACTATAGAATTTTCACTTTTATTTCAGTTTGCCAAAGCTCGTCGCTCGCTTGGCTAGGAAGCTGAATGTATAACAGAGTGGTATACATATATCTTGACTTGCAACGAGCGTAGACTTCATGCACATACATATATACATATATGGTATACTTTGCTAGTTGCACTCTTTAGCTTGACTTTTGCTACAAATTCATATATGTGGTTGTGTGTGTGCATAATATATAAAACTTCAAGTGTGTTTGTATGTTTACTTTTTCCGCCGTATTTTCTAGGTTGCTTGTTGCCTTTTGCACTTTATCTGCCTTCCTACGCTTATTCGCTTATTTTCTTCACTCACTTTCTCATAGTATACATATGTAGGAAAAATACACACATACACACTCTTACAAATATACTGTTTCTATAACTGCATATTTCTATATACTCTGTGTATATGTTTGTAATGGGGGCAACAACATTGCTATGTTTTATATGGTCATTCAACCGGAATAAGGAAGCTGTGTGTAGTGTTCAGAAATGTTACGTATACGCACCAGCCGACCGCAAATGAAATTTCACTTATTAAACTCACGTATTATGCGTATATATTTAATTTCGATAAAATTTTTTTTTTTTTAAATAAAAAATCAACTTTTTACCACACTGATTGTAAGTGTCAAAATATTAACCGGCGAAAATGAATTGCCCACCAACGTGTACTACTCATATACAACCACTGGTGTAAAACTTTATGCTAAAAATCGTAATACGACGTCAAGAGCATCAGCTGTCACTACTAATCACTGTCAGCACTCAGCGCGTGTTAATGTGAAAAGTCGGCGAGCACTTTTTTGGCGTTTTATATTCTTGACGCCGGTCAGCTGCTGTTGTTATGGCGGGTTCTACGTAATTTACTTGATTTAAAATTTTAATTCTGTGCCTCTGATTTCAGTTCGCACAAATTCATTTAATGTTTTTTTTTTTTGCGGGCAATTAATTCAGTGAAAACTTTTCTGTATAATGAAAGCGTAGGCATTTTAGTAAAGAAAAATTTTGTGGTACTCGATTTAAATTTAAAGCGGTAATGGAAAAACGAAAATAATTACAAGTCTATGGTGTTGGCATTAAATTCAAATATTATCACAAATTTTAATGAAATGGATTTAGAAGTTTTTTACTGCAGAATTATAAATAAAATCTTTTAAATTTGCGAATTTAATTAACATAATTTAACAAAAAAAATTTGGAATGAAACTTAACTTTACAAAAATCTTATGATAAGAAAGCCATAGAGTAAGCAATTTTAAGATCCACATTTAAGTTTCCGCAGACTTATCTTATATCAGTTTCATCATTTAACAAAATTTGTTTTGCAATTTCTTTGAAAAAATACATGAAAGAAAAAATCGAAATGTAGTCATAAAAAGGTATTAACTACAAACTGTTTTAAGGAAATAAACTATTCAAAGAAAAATAATTTGAACGCGCAATTTTAAAATAATAAATAAGTATTAAATACAAATTCACTATCCCCGTTTGCGAAATATTTGAATAAATATTAATTAACTTAAATCGTTAGTACAAAAGTATTATTGACTTCTTTAAACGTTTGCCAAATTTTTGTCTTACCCTATAAAATTAATTTTTATTCGTTATAAATATATTAAGTTGAAAGTAAGACGACATTGAACTTTCCTTCATGAAAAAATTCAAGCTAGAAATACGAAAAAATTTTAATACCATTTACTTATGAAAAACTAAAATATATTAAATAAATAAATATAATAAACAAAATGAAAATTTAGCATATATTTATAAAGATATATATAATTTAAATAACAAATTCCTATATAAGTGAGGCAGAAAATATTCATATTTTATTTTTACAAAGGGAATAAACTAATAAAAAAATAGAATATTTTAATTTTAGAGAAAATATTTTTTTATTGGTTTCTTAAAATAAATAATTTTTTGATTCCAAAAAAAAAAAATTAAACAATTTTCCAAGTAAATAATTTGCATATCTAGTATTTTTTTTTTAAGTTTCAAGTAAACGTAAATATTTTATTCTTAAACAAATTTTATTTCGAATTAAACTATGGTGTTTTAATATTTTTGTAACTTTATGTTTAATAGCTAGTTTGTTGTTGTTTTTGAGTTAAACTTATTACTTGTCTTAGTTATTTATACTTCTCATTAATTTTTTTTATATAAATTTTAAATTTTATATAAAGTTTTTTATATTGATTTTATATTTAAAATAAATTATTACTGTGCATTTGTAGTAAGAGGATTTGAAAAATATTAGTTTATTATTAGTTTTTTATTGCAGACTTTTATTGAAATCATAACCAAATTAATGTTGATATTAAGAATGAATTAGAAAATGGTTAACATATCTAAGTTTTCATAAGGTTCAGTGCAATGCTCATTTCGAAAGATTTGATTATGACAAACTGTATTAATTTTCCAATAAAAAGAGCAAATAATTCTGAAAATCTAAAACCTTTTTGTTCGCAAGGAAAATTTTTATTTTATGTTTCTTTACTTCTTACTGTCAACAAAAACTAAATTTATAAAACATAATTTTTTCTTCCAATAATAAGCACTCAAACCTAAAATGTTGTTATTCCTGGAAATGAATGAATGTCCTTTATAATACTGAAAATATAAAGAATTTGAAAGTCTTATTGCCTACAAATGTGATATAAAAATCATTTTGAGTTATGTCTTAAACATCACACTAATCTCATTGAGTTATCTCTCAATTCATTAACTAGCTTTTGAGAATGTCTTCAGTGCATTGATATTACGATTTGATCACCAGCAGTTGCCTGTAAGCAAACGTAGTCTATTTCAAGCGAAAAACGGCGAAATTATAAATATAATTTTTACGAAAAAATAGCTGTGGGTTAACACGTAGCTTGCCATACTTTGCATTTATTTTCCGCCTTCTTATTTATAATTATTATTCATATTTTTATTTACTGTACATAATAATTTTTATTATTATTGGTTCTGATATCGAGGTGATAAAACTACGAACGCACGAACAAACCGCAAAAATTACCCCAACTTAAAACGCAAAGCGTACGTTCTAAACCGTTAGGCGACGCTTTTCTTACTGAAAAGCAACGCATTGGCCAAAATTGCGAAATCGTCATAGCCAAGTCAAAACACATACGGTCCCATAACACAAAACGGCCAACAACATTCAGCAGCCAGCCAGGCTGCGTATGATACGCTCGTTACCAGCTGTGCCGTTGGCGGCGACGTTGGCGTTCGCCAAGCATTGGTTTTCGGCTCAGTTTACTCGTATGCTCGTGCCTCACTATAATAACTAGTTGAGAATTGTTAGCGGCGAGCAATAAATGCACTGGCCTGTGACACGAAGTAGACTTTCAACTTTCCGTCAGCGAGTACATTATAACGGTTTTCGATATTCGAAGAGATTACTTCATTGCTATTCGCAATCAAATGAAAGTACGATTAATATTTGAATCTGTACACGCGCCATAAAATGAATTTTACTGTACTTTATAGTTTATTTTATAAAAACTACTTGACTTCATTTTACAATGTGTTGCAAAAAACCCATAGCTAGTTTCGATAGCATGCTTACTTCCCGCTTTCTCTAGCTTCGAAAATTATTTGAAACTCATTTTTTATGTAAAATCTTCGCTTCTTTGATTCTCGCTTGTCATAACAAATGCAGTTGTTACTCCCAATCGGCGTCGCTCTTTCTGTCTCGTAGCGGTACATATTGACTCTCTCTTCTCTGCCCTTCTTTCCTTTACCATTGTCGACTCTCATTAAATATTTACGAATTCTCGTTCTCATTCTCACATATAATGTACTGTGCTCACGCTCTCTCTTTCGCAACGTATACAAATTCGAAGTGTTTGCCTTCGTGCATACCGTTACTCAGGCTTGTTGCTCTGTTTCGCAATTTCGTCGTTATGGAAGTAAAACAGGCATTGCATTACAGCCAGCAGCCGTTGAAGGTGACTATGGTCATCGGACGAGAATTTCGTGTTCGTTGTCAGCAAACTCAATGGTTGGCTGCCAGTTGTCACTGTTTCAAAAATGATTTGTTGTTGTTGTTTCATTTCTCACTGTTATAAATATAAGTGTCCGTGAGTATGTGTCCTTTGGAATTTGAGTCCTTTTGGTAATCGATTTCAGGCAGTGCGCCGACTCAGTACCGAACCAAAGAGGCATTGCCACTGGTATCAGTGATTCAATTGTAGCCGTTAGTCTTTGGTGAGACAGTCCGCTTGCCTTCCGACCCCAAAATGAGTTTTCAAAACCTACTAACACAAGCACAAATGCATAAATGTTGGGTATGTATGCATGTGCGTGTACATTTGTCTATCCGATTGGCGTGTTTTTTAGCTTTGTTGCTTTTGCAGGCTGGCTAAGGCCTGTTGGAATCCCCTTGTGAACCCATCACCACACACATACATCAAAGTGTGCTTGTACACATGTATGTAAATATGCACTGGCAAGGCTTCGCAAAAACGCGACTTGGTTTCGGCTCAACGGGTATTTGTTGAATTTCGCCTTTTACCTTTGCTTGCTGCCACCGCTTTCACTTCGTTCCAATTCTCTTTCATAGCACACTTTTCCCATTTGTGCTGGTTTTGGTTTAGTTTTGCGGTTCGGTGCCACAAATTCGCAAACGAACGAAATGAACTTTTTCGTCTTTGAATGCATGCAACCCTCCTGAAATACATACATATGTTGACGTGCGTATGTGTGAATGGCTTGTTTCATCTAATGCTCGAAAGTATGGGTGATTGTTTAAGCATTTGAATATGTCACGCGAAAATGTAAAGTAAAAATAAAGCAATTCTCAAAAGATTTCAATGCATTTGCGTAGCGTTTTGTAGGCTTTCATGTGTGCTTGACATTTTCTGCTTGAATGCTTTCATTCAATGCTGTTATATTTAGAGGAACTAGTAAAAATAAAAAATAAAAACAAACAAACACAATACAAAATATACATATTGCAGTTATTGTACAAATAATAATGAAAATCATATATCCTTTGAACTGAGTTTCGTCCTTATTCCACATGATTTCGGTATTGTTGTTTCATTATCTCTGTTCCTATTCACCATAGTTCACCTCAGTACTTTAGTTGTATCTGATATTGTGATGAGTGTAGAATTCCCCTTATTTTTCACGAAATTCCTTTGATTGAAAGTTTTTATAGGAAATGAGTATCGCATTTTCAACAATTGTGTTGTAGAGTCTCTTGCCGTGTATTACAGTTAGCGTAAGCATGGTGAAATTACTACTCACCGGTTAATTATTATTGACAAAATTAACACTGGAGTAACGAGAAAGAGTCAAATTAAAATTTAAGTACGAATTATGCCTTTCTTTGGCAGATGAATTGTATTGTACTTAGAAACGGACTTCTATGTTCTCACATAAAATATTTTAAACAGACATTGGAATATTTTTGACGCTTAGTCCCTCTTCTAAACAGAGTTATTAACCCACTTCCAGTGTTTAAAATAGTTCTAGCCTCATTTTGAGCTAATGATAGAAACTATAAAGGCTTAAAGAATACGAAATTTTAAATGGAAGCGGTATATTACTTTCATTATAGTTTTATTTTAACTAACCTTTGTATACATATATATAAAGGGTGAGTTTTTAGCTATTATCTTTTGGGCAACACTGGTCTAAACAGCTGACCCACGTTTCGTGTATTGTATCACAGTCAAACATCTTTTGATTGGCTTAGTATTTAAACATGAATCGAATTACAAACGAACAACGCTTACAAATTATTGAATTTTATTATCAAAATGCATGGTTGCGTCAATAAGCAGAATTGTCGTTTTGGCATGAAGATCAGCCAGAAGCATTGCAAGAGCTACCAATGCAACCAAAAAAGTCACAGTTTGGAGCGGTTTATGGACTGGTGACATCATTGGACCTTACTTCTTTAAAGATGATGTAAATCGCAACGTAACTGTGCAAACACTTTTTTTGCCCAAAATGCAAGAGCTCTACTTGCTTGACATTTGGTTTCAACAACATGATGCCACATGCCACACAGCACGCGTAACAAAGAACTTATTGAGAGGCGAATTTGATGAACATTTTATTTGACGTTCGGAACTGGTCAAATCGCCGCCTAGATCTTGCAATTTACCATTTTAGACTATTTTTTTGAGAGGCGATGTTAAATCTTATGTCCATGAGATGAGATGCCGACCGAAATGTTGGAAAGAGAATGCGAAACTGGACTAAGCGGATGGACCATTTGAGGCTTAGTCACATTTACATGAAATAATTTTTAAACATTAAATTATATGATTCAATAAAGATTTCATGCATTTTTCTCAATTTAATGTACTTTTTTTGAAATACTTTCATAAAAGCTCTTAAAAAATTACCCGTTTTAAGAGTTTGTCTTGAACGACCACTGATCGTAAGGAGCTGAAACTTTGAAGATGTGTTTTGGGAATGACGTATGCACCCGATAAGAAATAATTTTTCGGGAAGTATATTTTTATACACAGACAACTGTTTTCCTTTATTGATATGTGACACAATTTTTCTTCTGGGACGTGCACCCGGGACCGATTCATCGGTAACTATTTAGTAGTAATAGCTTCGAGCCCAAATTATCGTTCGGAACCACTTTTCTTGCTGAAAGACCGATCTTTTTCGAAACAAAATACTATTCCGGATATTTTCGATTTCAATTCAATAGTTTCGGCACTGGAAGAACTTCTAGTTACATGATTAATATTATTAACCGTAAACCCGCAAAATGGTTGTGCGAGTGTGAGATTTTAACAGCAAAAATTATAATATCTCAGGTATAAATTAAATACTTCTTATATCATTGGAAGGGGTCGAATATCAGTATAAAGGCGTCGACCCGATAATAAACATCCACAATCCAGTAGAGTTCCTGAATATATTCAAACCTACCGGTCTCCTAACTTACAAAACTCAAATATAATGCTGTGCTACCAAATAACTGGTGAAAGTATTGTATCGAAATGACTTTTAAAAATGCAAGAGTAAACTTAAGAGAAAGCCGCTTCTTCCCTGGTCGCTTGTATACGAGTATAGCATGCTTCATATTAAGCCTATAATACCTGGTGATTCTAGCATCCTACGGAAAAACAAAAAATACTTCGTCAAGGAAATATGATAGGTGGACAGCTTTTATTTAATTTTCAGACTTACCTATACAAAGATTGGTACATTATATGTATTTTAATAATATTAAATATCTAAACATAAATTAAATATCAAAAAAGCCAAACTTAAAGCTTTTCTAAATGCAATTAAGAGTTACATGCCCACGAAATCACGTGTAAACTTCAGCATATTTACAAAATAAGTCCCCAACATATCAAATCCATTATGTTCCTCCGTGATTACATGAAAGGGATCTACATTCGCTACTCTACTACTTTTTAATATACTAAGAGAAAGTGGACGAAAACTCTTTGACCAAGCCAAAATAACGGGTTGCTGGCAATATTACAAAGCATAGCCCTCTTTTCAGAAGCGTCTAGAGACATACGACTTTCACAATTATAGCCCACTCTCTCACGAGTGTTTTTTCGCGCTCTCAGTTTTCCTGTTTTCTCAGTCGTCAACGGCAGCTGGTGGTAGTCGTCGTATTGTGGTAATTTCGTTGATTTCGGGATAGTGGCTGTTGGTTATCTTTTTTTCTGACTTTTACACTCCATTGTAAATCTATTTTGTTAAGATTTGGCTTAGTTTTTTTTATTTAAAGTTAGTGCAATGGAACGAAATAATGGCACAAATAGCATTATCGATTCTGCTGGCTGAGAGTTTGCTTTAAGAAACATTCAAACTGACTCTTGTGGGAACTATCAGGTTAAACAAATGTCATGAAAAATACATGATCGAAAGAAGTTGGAACTAGATTTTCGTCGTAGTTGACACGTCCGACCAAATGTGCTCGATAAGAGGAAAATTAACTGGTGGACTATGGCAATATTTTACAGAATTCCGAACATAGCTTTCGCCAACTCATATGATATATATTATTTTACCACAATATGCAGTCTTAAACCCAAAGCCTCTATGTCGAAGAGGGT